TTCGTCCGATCTCCTTCCCCATCAGGGCGGGGGTTGTATCGGGAGTGTTCGTTTCACCCCACTGTTTTGTTCGAACGACTTATCTAAAAAAAAAAATGCGAGCCCCAACTCCCCTCATTAATAGCGAATGCTTTATTGTGCAGGCCTATGCAAACAAGCAGCCTCCTGGTAGAGAGTAATTAGGTACCGAGTTTATTTTCGTTCCAGCGCCAAAATAAAAGGGCGGGGCTATTTACGTCAGGGGGGAATTTGTAAATAAAGTTACCGCTGGCATTGTTGTTGTTTTTTAAAGCCAGGTATTTGCTTTAATTATACCTACTTATTTGACTTGACAGGTATCAAAACAGAGATTTCATTATGTGTGTATATATGTATGTATATATATATATATATATATATATATATATATATATATATATATATATATATATATATATATATATATATATATATATATATATATAAAAATATGTTTGTATAATGTATGTGTGTGGATATATAGATATTGATATATATATATATATATATGGCATAATTATATATAAATATATGTATGTATATATATATATATATATATATATATATATATATATATATATATATATATATATATATATATATATATATATATATATATATGCATATAGATCTATTTGATTATATAATGTTTGTGTGTTGCCATATATATATATATATATATATATATATATATATATATATATATATATATATATATATATATATATATATATATATATATATATATATATATATATATATATATATATAATCGTTCAAACTACCAGTACTATTATATTGAACTATTATTGCCCAAAACACAGTTATTTGAAGCACATGAAAGCTTACCAACATGATCACAATAGTTTTCATCCAAAAAGTGGTGTTGTATATTCCCTGGGCTGTTTTGTTGACAATGTGCGGGTAATGTTTTCCACCCCCGGACTCCAGCATGCGGCCGTTTGTTGTGCTGAGACGTCCGTGCCGCATTATTTTATCTGCGGCAGCACATATTTCTGTTATGTATATTTCTCTTCCATCACAGGGAATGTCTTTGTGTTTTTTCTAGGGCCGGGAACTGTGTGTTTATACGAATGTATACTAGAGGGAGGTAAATACACAGTCGGCCACGACGATTTTACAGACTGGTGACGCTTGGTGGTGTCAATAGTTTTTATTCAGTTTTCTTTGCCGAAAACAATACGGGGTCGTGAAGTTAAAAAACAAACAAACAACAAAACTTAAAGCCGGGTGGTGTTTATTTTATTCAATAAAATTAGTTTTGTAATTATAATTTTAATCACCACAATGCTACTTAGCGAAGTGATAATTAATTTTTTGAAGCGTGTTGCTAAAGTTGTCCCAGGGTTTATTTTTAACTTTACAAGATAGATCTATATAGGTACATATATGCATGTTATATATATATATATATATATATATATATATATATATATATATATATATATATATATATATATATATATGTGTGTGTGTGTGTGTGTGTGTGTACATCAAAAATGTATGTACTAAGCCTCAATCTAACTGGGAAAAATTCGTATAAAACTGGCTTGAAATTCTTCAGTAAAAAGGAATGCACACTCTGGTATAGCACGCCGACAATGTGGTCACTTAACTTTCCCCTAAACTCCACGCTCCGTGTGTGTCTAGATTGTACGTAGGTGTTGGTTGTCATGGCACCCAAACATCCCCGTATCTCCAAACTGTCCACGAGTTGTGTCGCCTCCCGCGGTTATCAAATGAACTTGCCCAGAGGGCCTAGATAAGCGGGTCCCGTCAAGGGCCCTCAGGAGATACTCTAGCATCGCTCTTGTATAGAGCGCGCCGCGGCAATCCACACTGTCTCCTCTGTGTGGAATATTCGGGTTTCCCGCATCCAGTCACCGGCCTTGATGCTTTAAATTGTTGGTTTGAAAAGAAGAGGTGAACCAAAAAAATTGGAAATGCAACGGAGGTATTGTGGCGTAAAGTTGGTAAGCCATGAAGGATTTGCGTTTCTTTAGACAAGACTTGTTTTGTTGATTCTTTATTAAAAAAAAAAACAAAAACTTGGTTAACACTTACCAGTTTTCGGGTGGTACGCTGTATAGACGTTTAATTCACTGTGGAAATGTAATTACAAAAAAATAAATAAATTAGTTTTTGCCTTTTTCTTGAATAGGTGTATTAAAATAAATAAAAATGCACTCGAAGGCGTTAAACAGTCGGGAAGTTAAGAAAAAAAAAACTCTTGGAGAGGAAAGTAATAGAGAAATGAAAGAAAGCGCTGAATTCTTGACTCACTTCCCCCCAGCCCGCGTTGTCAGAAGGAGCATCAATCAACATCCAACAAGGATCCTACCTGACACTCTCAGCGGTCTATGGCGAGAAAGGTGGGGAATTTCCTACAGGCCAGGGGAGACAACAATTTCGGAAAGTAGGAGTGTCTGAAAGGGGGGAGAAAAAAAAGTTGAGGTAGTTGTTTTTTTTTTTTAAAAGACACTACTGGAAAAAAAAATTTACTCGCAATTTCGTAGGCTGGGAAAGTTTTGGTTAGAAATCGTACGGCTCCTTCCAATGGTTAAAAAAAACTTGCTCCTTTTTGTGGGTATTTAAGTTAAAGAAATTTCTGAGGTTTTTATTCTTTATTCAGGAAGAAATATTGCTGTATTTATTTTTGAATAAGATATCACATGGATGTTCATTTGATATTTATTTATATATATATTTTTAAAATATTTATTTTAAAAAAATCCGATTTCTCAACAGTTAAAGACATTTTTAACTCGGGGAGAAATATTGCTGTATTTATTTTTGAATAAGATATCATAAAGATGTTCATTTGATATTTATTTATATATTTAAAAAAATTATTTTAAAAAAAACCGATTTCTCAACAGTTAAAGACATTTTAACTCTTTAATTAAATACAACTATCAAGATTTGTTTCTGTACACCAACTTGCCTTTTAACTCATTGACTAGGCTAATCCAGATGTTATCACTATATCCGTGCTAGATTCTTTAAGTTTAAGATGTTATAGCACTTGACATTTATTTTCTTGATTAGGCTAATGATAATGTTTTCACTATATATATGCTAGATTAGTTAAGGTATGATAGCACTTAACTTTAAATTTCTTGACTAGGCTAATTTCAATGTTATCACTATATCCATGTCAACGTTTCTTTAAAAAGTGATAGCGCTTAACATTTAATTTCCTGACTAGGCTAATTTCAATGTTATCACTATATCCGTGCTAGATTAGTTAAGATATGATAGCACTTAACTTTAAATTTCTTGACTAGGCTAATTTCAATGTTATCACTATATCCGTGCTAGATTAGTTAAGATATGATAGCACTTAACTTTAAATTTCTTGACTAGGCTAATTTCAATGTTATCACTATATCCGTGCTAGATTAGTTAAGATATGATAGCACTTAACTTTAAATTTCTTGACTAGGCTAATTTCAATGTTATCACTATATCCGTGCTAGATTAGTTAAGATATGATAGCACTTAACATTTAATTTCCTGACTAGGCTAATCCAAACTCCAGCTCTATAGCAACTGTACGATTTTTAAAGATGTGTTTGTTTAGTCGTTTAGTGTATGCTCTTATTACTGTGTTCAGATACACTACGGCTAATAAAATAAATCAATGTATTCCTCCACCTGAGTGTTCGTATAATAAACAACACAGGTAATCTACCCTCCCTCTGTCGAGTTACACAAGTGATATGTTACCTCGTTACTTTGTTGTATCGCTGTTATAAAACGTAGACTGTTGTTGAAAGATTACTACAATGTAAAAACAAAACACATACATTTGAACTCTACATCCGCATTTCAAGTGAGAGGGTGTGTGTGTGTGAGGAAGTGAGAGGGTGTGTGTGAGGCTACACTAGAAGGTGTGTGGGTGGGTGTGACCACGTTAAGTGGTGTGTGTGTGCCACATAAAAAGGGGGTTTGGGTGTGTCTGTGCGTGCGCGCGACAACACTAACAAGTATTATTCTATTTAGGAGGTGTGTGTATACATAGACGTGTGTATGTGTGTAATTACGTAGAAAGGTGTGTTATATTACAACAAGGGTGTGTATGACTACATTCAAAGGTGTGTTAAATTTCGAGGGTGTGTGTGACTAGATTCAAAGGTGTGTTAAATTTCGAAGGTGTGTGTGTGACTAGCCTACACTAACAGGTGTGCTATATTACAACAAGTGTGTGTGTGTGTGTGACTAGCCTACACTAACAGGTGTGTTATATTACAACAAGGCTGTGTGTGTGTGTGTGACTAGCCTACACTAACAGGTGTGTTATATTACAACAAGTGTGCGTGTGACTAGCCTACACTAACAGGTGTGTTATATTACAACAAGGGTGTGTATGACTCCATAATGTGCGTGCTTATGTGAGTAGCATAAATGCCGACTGTCCCATTATAAAATCAATTACATTCCTTTAAAGTTTAGATCCCCACTCATCCTCCCATTTCCCATGTAATCAAACCTCCCTAACCGCCGCGAATCGACTCTTTACCTAACAGAGCTTCATGATTTCGCCGGCCCAGTTGATTTTATTTACCCGGCTACTTATCACGTTGTATTTCTTGACACACTATACATGTTCAAAACTTCACCGAACTAATTATTTTAATTACACAGTTCTTATAATTATTTTGCAAGTTTGTTTACCACTATAGGGCTGGTAAGTAGGTCAATAAACAGTTATATGGCTCATGCAGGTTTTATTGAGCCGTAGAACTGGTTGGTCACCTACTTATCAGCCCTATAGTGTTTGAATACAATTATCTTATCTACTCACTAGCCGATTTTAAGATTTAAGATTTAGTGTTCACTGTCTCTCTTGTAATGTTTTTAATAGAGAAAAAAGTTGTATATTATTTGACTGGTTGTTGAATGTCATAACACAAATGTATCAAGTGGGGTTATCTATGTTTTTTTTTTTTTAATCTTAGGTGAAGCGTGCTCGTCTTACTGCTAGCAGCAAGCGGTGAGTAGAATTTTTTTCTTTCTATTGGCCATACCCCACACACTCTTGAAAACAAACTAATTAAAAACTTAACGTTTTTCATGCTCTGACACAAACTATACAGTGAGTACTGCGCTGTGTCTTTGAAGGTTTAATGTTTTAAAGGATGACGTCAAACAAAGTATGACCCACTTTTTAATGACACTTCCGCCTACCCCCACCCACTCCCCTGAATAGCTATTTTTTTTTGAAACGGCAATTTATTTTTCTACAATATTAATTAAGCCCGGTCACGATAAGATATATTGATCAGTTTTTTTAATTACAATTTTTACAAAAAAAAAAATTTCTTTAAAAATGAGAAATAACCACTGAAATTCATTTTCGAATATTTAATTTTAAAAAGTCACAAGTGTGATCACGTTGCTTTCTTTACGCCACCCCATCGCGACACCTCGTCTCCAAAGTCTGACCATAACCCCACTCTCTCTCGATGAAGTTGACGTTATTTTTTGGCCAATCCTAAAGACCGACACAATTCAAACAATGGGTACAGTACAGGTTCATGTCCTGCTGATAACGCACGTGCCAGCAAACAGGAAGTGTCAGGGTGACGCGGCCGTATACATGACCTATCGCATCAGAAACTAACTTTAGTACATGACCTATCGCCACTTTAGTACATGACCTCTCGCCTTAGAAACTAATTTTATTCATGACCAATCGCCACAGCAACAAACTTTAGTACATGACCTATCGCCACAGAAACTAACTTTTATACATGACCTATCGCCACAGCAACTAACTTTAGTACATGACCTCTCGCCACAGAAACTAACTTTAGTACACGACCTATCGCCACAGCAACTAACTTTAGTACATGCCCTCTCGCCACAGAAACTAACTTTAGTACATGACCTATCGCCACAGCAACTAACTTTAGTACATGCCCTCTCGCCACAGAAACTAACTTTAGTACATGCCCTCTCGCCACAGAAACTAACTTTAGTACATGCCCTCTCGCCACAGCAACAAACTTTAGTACATGACCTATCGCCACAGAAACTAACTTTTATACATGACATATCGCCACAGCAACTAACTTTAGTACATGACCTCTCGCCACAGAAACTAACTTTAGTACACGACCTATCGCCACAGCAACTAACTTTAGTACATGCCCTCTCGCCACAGAAACTAACTTTAGTACATGACCTATCGCCACAGCAACTAACTTTAGTACATGCCCTCTCGCCACAGAAACTAACTTTAGTACATGCCCTCTCGCCACAGCAACAAACTTTAGTACATGACCTATCGCCACAGCAACTAACTTTTATACAGGACCTATCGCCACAGCAACTAACTTTAGTACATGACCTCTCGCCACAGCAACTAACTTTAGTACATGCCCTCTCGCCACAGCAACAAACTTTAGTACATGACCTATCGCCACAGCAACTAACTTTTATACAGGACCTATCGCCACAGCATATAATAGAGATCCGTCTGGAACTCTATTGTAAAAAAAAAAAAGTTGCCCTAGCGGACCTAGCTATTCGTGAGGAAGATGGAGTTCTCTTGTTTCTTTGGCCTCGGCATATGAATGTAGGGATAGTATATGCATTATGCCCAGCCGCCTTTACTTTCCCTAACGTGAGTTAGGTACCCATCATAGCTTTGTGGATTTAGGCGCGTCCTACAGACCCAAGTTCGGGATTCGAACTCGATACAGTTTAGCACTCTACCGCCAATCTGTTGAATGCCTATATTTTCGTCCTAACAAAAGCATTTCTTTTCAGCGTTTTATTGTCCATTTGCTACCACAATTTGTCATTGAACTATGTCTTTAATTTTTGGTCTACCACTATCTTGTAAATGCCAGTTTCTCCTTGTTGGGATATTGACATCACATCCGGAATAGAAAAGTACGAGTGTGGCTGTGTCCCGACCTACGAACTATCCATCCCTTCTCTCTAATCTCTCCCGTTGTACGAGCTATGCAATCTTTCTAAACCACCCCGGTGAACGAACCATCCCAACTCTCTAACTTGCCCCGGTGTACGAACCATCCCTTCTCTCTAACATGTCCCGGCGTACGAACCATCCCATCTCTCCAACCTGCCCCGGTGTACGAACCATCCCATCTCTCCAACCTGCCCCGGTGTTCTAACCATCCCTTCTCTCCAACCTGCCCCGGTGTTCTAACCATCCCCTCTCTCTAACCTGCCCCGGTGTACGAACCATCCCTTCTCTCTAACCTGCCCCGGTGTACGAACCATCCCTTCTCTCCAACCTGCCCCGATGTACGAACCATCCCTTCTCTCTAACCTGCCCCGGTGTACGAACCATCCCTTCTCTCTAACCTGCCCCGGTGTACGAACCATCCCTTCTCTCTAACCTGCCCCGGTGTACGAACCATCCCTTCTCTCTACTCCAGCAGCGGTTCAAGTAGCTCGGACTCGGACAGCGACAGTGCTGCATGTGAACGTTCGTCTTGTAGGCTGGAACCATCCGACCATCATGTCAATGGAGTGGGACAAGGTAAGACACGCTACTCCACACCACCGCCTCTAACATAACACTCTACAACAGCACCGTCTCTAACATAGCACTCTACCACTGCCTCTAACATAGCACTCTACAACAGCACCGGCTCTATCATGGCACTCTACCAGTGCCTCTAACATATCACAACCATACAACCGCCTATACCATAGCACATGCCTCTATTAGGAAGATGATTTTAGTCACTCATATCCCGGCCACAACTCGATAGCTTCGTTTTCTGTTTTACTCTTATTTTCCACGAGTTTCATATAGTACGCTTTAAACAGCAGTTGGGTTATATTAGACTACGTTGTATAACCACAGTTAAAGACGTTGACTACACTCAACTGTTGTAACTCAACTTTTCTAAAAATGTTCACTAGAAGGCTTTAAAGTTTTGTTTTCCTTAACATTTCTGTATTAAGTAGGCCTACTTGATAAAAATTCAAGTGTTGTGTAATAGTAGAGAGAGACATGGCTACGAAATGCTTTGCCTTGATGCCTTGATGCCTTTAGAACACAACGGTGTGTACATATCGAAAAAAAAAAACGAAACATAGAGTTAGAGAAGTATGGTTCTAGAGAAGCGATGTATAAATACATACATATATTTGTTATATATATATGTATGTATATATGTAATGAATACACTTACATACACACTAACTGAGCAGTACATTCGAACGCGCTGGTATTTGTCGGCTGTAGAAAGAAATCGAAACGCCGGCTAATTAAAAATGTGACCGGCAATGATTTATTGTCGACAAATGTAAAAAAAAAATAAAAATCGATACCACCTAGATCTAAGTATTTTACAGCAAACTAAAAGATTAAATGGCGGAGTAATATACGTGTATGAAATTATGTACAACAAAACAACGGAAGCGTGGTTATGTTCATGACGTGGTTTTTAAAAAAAACACAATATGATAATGTCGGCTGATCTAATCCTGAGTGATAGCTATACGGGTCTTAAAGATCTAGTGTTACATTGATCCCTGTATCAATAAGAACACAGAGAAGCACCAATGTGAAAGCTTACACAGCCTAGCTGGGTCTGCTAACGTATAGCTGCATAGGCCTACTACTGAACCTGTATTGCTGCTTTATACATATTTTTTCCCTTCTTCTTTTGAAGCAATGAAAAAAGAAATCTCATTAATTATTGTTAATGAATTCAGTTTAAAAAAAAATTATCAATCATGTAAAAAAAAAAGATTAAATTGTCCGTTATATTCATTTTGTGAACTGGTTTAATCCAGCCAGGCATAAGAAGTAGTGGCGCCTATTGTGATTACCAATATTGATTCACCAGGCACCATGTGGTGTGACTGTCTCGTTCCCCCCCCCCCCCACACGCACACCCACCCCACACATTCTTAGGATAAAGTAATGAAATATTGTTGTATTTTACTTGAAGTGTGTTTTTTAATATCAGACTTACCTCCAGATGCAGCCCAGTCTACCACTGCAAGCTATGCCATCAACCATACTTGGTTGACAAGTAAGTAGCCTCAATGGGTTTCTTTCACACATTTTTACTTGACAGAGTGATGGGGGAGGGGGACTGGTTGAAGTATTTATTTACTATATAAATTATATGTAATTTGTATTTCATCCAAAGTGGGAGTCGTATATCCCACCTCATGCCCCGAAAAGATGCCTGAAAGAAACTTTGGTAGCCTTGTTATATTCTTAGGGGGGGGGGGGGGTCTGGGCAGTAGGTGGTAATGTTTACCTATATCTAATGATCAGCAGCAGGGGCAGGTGAGGAAGAGTTCACCTGTTTTTGTGATCTTGGGGGGGGATGGCGGGTGTGGTCAGTTGTAGCTTTGAATCTGGGTGGATTAAAGGACATGGTACAGAGATCCAGACTTTTGGGTTAGAATTCAACTTTGTTACCAAATGACTGCAGTATAGTGTCCTGTAATGAATATTTAGCTGTTCATTATTCATTAGTAAAGATTTAGCTTGCAGAATTAAAACAAAATATTGTCATTTAATACATTTTTTATCAAGTTTTTTTTTTTCAATGTAAAACATTTCAAAATTCCCAACCACCCAACCAGTGAAAGAGATAGAAATCTATTTAAAAAAAAAAAATAACATTTAACATTTTTGTTATTGCCAAATACATCATGTCCAGCACATTCATCAGTCAGCTGTTACTTCCCCAGCTTTCACAGACTCCTACTAAAGATAGGTTCTACAGATACCTTAACAAATATAATTAAAACTGGATCCTTTCAGTGATTAGAAATACACTCTATCCATCAGCCAATTCGTCCCATTTTATCAGATTGCAAAAATTACCTGTAACAAATTTAAAAGAAATTCACTGACTCGTTACAACATTATATATTTGTTTTTCAGATGATTACAAGACGTCCGCTCCAAATTTTCCTTATATTACAAATAACTCATATAAGTAAGTATCTGATTCAGTATTTCATATTATGTTAGTATAATTTTGTTACATTGATTTTTGCATTCGCCAAATTTTATTATTTTGGCTAGTTGTTTTACATTGACATTAGATGCATATTTGGCTATTTGTATAATTTTAAGTGTTAATTTGGCTACTTGTGACATTAAATGAATACTAGGCTAGTTGTATAAATTGTATAATATTAAATGTGTATTTGGCTAGTTGTATAACATTGAAATAGTATTTGCCCAATTGTGTACAACATAACACCCACTTTCAACAAACTTGTGTTTCCCACCCCCAGAAATCCAGGCAGCACACTCCCGTCATCCACCCCATTCCCCCAGTCATCCAGCGTCCACTCCCTCACCCAGTCATCCAGCCAGCACTCCCTAAACTCCGGCCGGCTCTCAGAAAGCTCCAGCTCCGGCGGCTCCGAAGACTCAGGTCCCAGTAGCCAAGCAGCATCAGACAGCATGAGTGTCTACATGGGCAGCACCCAGAATGCTGGTACCTTCATGCAGGCTACTGGATACCCCGGCTACCACCAGGGGAGCCCGAGCCCGTACCACATGCTACACTCGGCTTCGTACAACCCTGATGCCTGTAAGTGTTAGCTGTGCTCTCTTTTGTTCATTCTTCAAACCTCTAATTTGTGTTGTATTAAGGTCAAATGTTTTTTGTTTTGTAATGAACTCTACCAGTAGAATGAACTGGGATATACCAACGGGGACCAGCTAGTTTTGACAAAGAAATTACGATAAAACAAAACATTTACAATAGCAAAATGGGTTCAGAATCCGCAACCTGCCAGATAGATGATCATCTTCACTACAGTGCCACATATCAGCTTGACAAAATTTAATATTTGTGTTTTTTGAGACTTATGGGAAACTAACTTAATCCCTGAGTTACTAACCTAGTCCCCTGAGTGACTAACCTAGTCCCCTGAATCCTAATCCCATAAAAAACAAACCTTGTCCCATGAAAGACTAACCTAGTCCCATTAAAAAAGACTAACCTAGTCCTTTGAATGACTAACCTAGTCCCCTGAATCCTAATCCCATAAAAGACAAGCCTAGTCCCATGAAAGACTAACCTAGTCCTCCGAAAGACTAACTTTGTCCTCACGCCGTGCACCCCATACCACTGGTCAGTAGCCTACATACTTAAGAACTGCAGAAGCTTTGCTAATTCTACAACCTTAATTAAATAATTGTTATTAAATATATTTAGGAGTTTTTGTTGCATAGGGAAACAATCTACATCAGTTTTGCAAATTCTTCTTTTTTAAATTCTTGTGTTTGAAAAATGTTATTCTGTTTGTTATCTAAGAAAGGATTGTATATTACCAACAATAAAAATTACAACTTTGCTAATTCTATAAATCTAAATACTCAGATGCTAAGATGTAGTTATGCTATTATGATAATTATATAAGAATGGATTGTACATTAACAAAGCTAAAACTACTATATCTGCTAATTCTATGAACCTAAATTGTGTTGAATAAACATCAAACATGAGCACCTAAGCTTGCTCTAGGATCTTTCTTATGTGCAGCTGCTTGTTACAGTGTCATGCCTTACACCAATCTTATGTTAATCTATCAAATCACACAAAACTGAATAATTTCTTGTCTCTGCTCTGGTGTAGCTCTACCTGTAGTTCTTATCCTTAATCTCTGCACCTGTTTTACTTATCTTCACCTGCCCACCTGTATCGGTTATCTTTACATGCATACCTATATCTCTTTATCTTTTTTAACACACCTGTCTCAAATGTATTTTCTAACACATCTGTCGTATTTTGTTGTAGCAGAATATGTCTTACTTTTTTACACAGCACATGTGTCGCTTACACATCAAGCCTGTCTCACTTACACACACAGCACACCTGTCTCACTTACACATCACACCTGTCTCACTTACACAGCAAACCTATCTCACTTACACAGCAAACCTATCTCACTTACACAGCAAACCTATCTCACTTACACAGCACACCTGCCTTACACAGCACCTTGTCTCACTAACACAGCACACCTGTCTCACACATCACACCTGTCTCACTGACACAGCAAACCTATCTCACTTACACAGCACACCTGTCTCACTAACACATCACACCTGTCTCACACATCACACCTGTCTCACACATCACACCTGTCTCACACATCACACCTGTCTCACTGACACAGCAAACCTATCTCACTTACACAGCAAACCTATCTCACTTACACAGCAAACCTATCTCACTTACACAGCAAACCTATCTCACTTACACAGCAAACCTATCTCACTTACACAGCAAACCTATCTTACTTACACAGTAAACCTATCTCACTTACACAGCAAACCTATCTCACACAGTAAACCTATCTCACTTACACAGTAAACCTGGCTCACTTACACGGCAAACCTATCTCACTTACACAGCAAACCTATCTCACTTACACAGCAAACCTATCTCACTTACACAGCAAACCTATCTTACTTACACAGTAAACCTATCTCACTTACACAGCAAACCTATCTCACACAGTAAACCTATCTCACTTACACAGTAAACCTGGCTCACTTACACGGCAAACCTATCTCACTTACACAGCAAACCTATCTCACACAGTAAACCTATCTCACTTACACAGTAAACCTGGCTCACTTACACAGCAAACCTGGCTCATTTTCTTACACATCACATGTCTTACTTTCTTACACAGCACACCTGTCCCACTTTCTTACACATCACACCAGTCTCACTTATATTTTACAAAACACATTTCACTCCTCAACTCCCCATGGGTTTATTTTTGTGTTTATGTATGTGAAGCCTGTATAGAAGCTACTTCTACATGATGAAATATAACTCTCTTTGCAGTTCCTGCTAAAATAAAACCAACCAATCAGATGGTGCCACCTACTTACATGCCAGGCTACCCACAGATCACACCCACAGGTCAAGGTTATTATGCAGGTCAGTGTCCTTGCTGCAGTGTAAAATTGTTATTATTTTCTGACCAACTTGATTTTAAGACTTTAAATTGTACTGTTGTATTGACATAATTCTCTGACCAGCAGAAATAACTTGATTACATATTGACACAAAAATCTTTAAAAATTGTGTTATTGTGGAATTATTCTCTGACCAGCAGAAATAACTTGATTACATTTTGACACAAAAAACTTTATGTTATAGTGACATATCCTCTGATGTAATAACTGATGTAACAACTTGATTACATATTACCACAAGTAGCTTACACAGCCTGACTGTTTCATCTCTAGGTGCAGCTACTGCATTGGCCTATGGTACAACCAACCCAGTACCTGCCTATGTGAGTACTTTGGTCTCCATGTAGACCTTGTTAGGCTTTAAAACTTGCGCTATATTTTTGTTTGTATTTAAATCTTGTTACTGTCTGTTTGTGCTCAATCCTTGTTATTGTTCAGTAATTTTGGTTGTGTTTATTACGCTGTTATTGTGTTATTGTCACATACATTTGTTTAAATCTTTTTATTGTACAGTATTTCTGTTCATATTTATTACACTGATGTTGTGTTATTGGTAAATTTGTGTTTAAATCTTATTATACAGTATTGCTGTTTTTGTTAATTACACTGTTATTGTGTTATTAATAAATTTGTGTTTAAATCTTATTATACAGTATTGCTGTTTTTGTTTATTACACTGTTATTGTGTTATTGATAAATTTGTGTTTAATTCTTGTTATTATACATTATATCTGTTTGTGTTTATTACACTGTTATTCTGTTATCGATAAATTTGTGTTTGAACCTTGTTAGTATAGAGTATTTCTGTTTGTGTTAATTACATTGTTATTGTGTTATTGATAAATTTGTGTTTAATTCTTGTTATTATACATTATTTCTGTTTGTGTTTATTACACTGTTATTGTGTTATTGATAAATTTATGTTTAATTCTTGTTTGTGTTTATTTCACTGTTATTGTGTTATTGGTAAATTTGTGTTTAAATCTTGTTACTATACATTATTTATGTTTGTGTTAATTACACTGTTATTGTGTTATTGATAAATTTGTGTTTAAATCTTGTTAGTATACAGTATTTCTGTTTGTGTTTATTACACTGATGTTGTGTTATTTGTAAATTTGTGTTTAAATTTTGTTATTATACAGTATTTCTGTTTGTGTTTATTACACTGTTATTGTGTTATTGGTAAATTTGTGTTTAAAGTTTGTTAGTATACAGTATTTCTGTTTGTGTTTATTACACTGTTATTGTGTTATTGGTAAATTTGTGTTTAAAGTTTGTTAGTATACAGTATTTCTGTTTGTGTTTATTACACTGTTATTGTGTTATTGATAAATTTGTGTTTAAATCTTGTTTTTATACAGTATTTCTGTTTTTGTTTATTACACTGGTATTGTGTTATTGGTAAATTTGTGTTTAAATCTTGTTATTATACCGTATTTCTGTTTGTGTTTATTACACTGTTATTGTGTTATTGGTAAATTTGTGTTTAAATCTTGTAATTATACATTATTTCTGTTTGTGTTTATTACACTGTTGTGTTATTGATAAATTTGTGTTTAAACCTTGTTAGTATACAGTATTTATGTTTGTGTTTATTACACTGCAATTACACACGTTACAAACTGATGATAAGAAAAACTCCAGTTGAAGTCAGCTGTTTTCCTCCTGATCTTTTCCAGGACCAAAGTTTCTATGGTTACAATGCAGATTACTACAACACCAATTACCCTTTCATGACCACTACTGGACCAGCCACGCCCACTACCACAGTGCCTTCCACCCAGACCTACCAGCTGAATGACCCACCAACACCCACCCCTGCCAGTAATGTCACAGGTCAGTCCCTCCTCTCTCTTAAAATAAAAATATCCTTTAGTAACCATTGTGGACTTCAGACTAAAGACTGTTCCCTGTTAACTAAGTAATTAACATCAGGGGTAATGTTTGATGGGGATTATTTGATTCCTGTGTGAGTATTGTAGTGTTTTGTTGTGGAAATGATAATAGCTTTAGAAGCAGTTTCTTTCAGGGATCTTTCAGGCAACCTACCCACCTCCCCCCCTATATCTGGACAAACTAGGACAAAAACACAAGTATACTTTAACCAGTGAAACCTCCCCCCCCCCCCCCCTGGAGAAAAATGTCTGAAAGAAACTGTTTTATGGCTAGGGGCTTATTGAGTAACTTGTTAAATGAATTAAACACTGGTTTTATTGATTGACGTATAAAGAATATACCCTACCCGATTGGTCAACTTCCTGTCCTTCATCTAATGTCTTTAAACTTTTTCGTGTTCTTCTTTTAGTTAATAATAAGATTGGTCTTTGTGTTCTTTTTGTATTGCCCAAATTTTCTAGTTTCATTTTTTGGTGTTAACCCATAAGTTAACAAAAAAAAAAACCCCAAACCCACTACAAGTTAAGTCTGTAATGTAAGTTTTTATACGTTAGGAGAAAACCTTTAAGAAATTCTGAGATTGATTGAAAATCGATCAAATTGCATATCTTTTTAAGTCTTTTATAATCAAATTCTGCTCTGTAATGTCAGTTGATCTCTTTAAAATTGTGCTTGCTGGCTGCCTTGTATGGTGATACTCACAACTACCATATTAATCCAAGAAATTATTGCATACAATACTCATATACAGATGATCATTAGTGGATATAATTAATTATAAATATTAGATTGGTATATTTTTAAGAAACGATAATTATTAATTTTTAAATGTACCATTAAGATGATAAACATCTACATCATTTTTTCCACACAGGAGCAACACACTATTTAAGTGGTTTCTCATTCATCTCATCGTTGCCCTTTTGGTTTTTTTCGGAATTTAACAATCAGTCCCTTGCTTCAAGTTGAATATACTTTGTATGTGTGTCCCTGTGTCCGTGCTCTTTCGTATTAGTGTATTTTTCACACTGTTCCATCTCCCGATGTAAGTTCTGAACACTCCACCGAATCACCAGCTATTAGATTAATACAGACCCTGACACACCACCTGAACCCCCCCCCCCCTTTTACAGCCACTAACACTCCACCTGATCCACCACTCATACACCTTAATTCCACCAGGTCCCCCACCCACATACCCCAGACACTCTACCAGATCGACAACCACACAGCCCGACACTTCACCAGCCCCCCCCCCCCCCCACACACACACTCATACAGCCCCTAACACCACCATGTCCACAACCTATACAGCCATACAGTCCTGTACACACCACCACACCCCACCCACACACCTCAGACACTCTACCAGATCCACCACTCATACAGCCCCTGACACTCCACCACTCATACACCCACACCGCCTTATACACTCCAACAGCCCCCCAGCCCCCCCCCCCCAGCCCATACAACCCCTGCGTGTGCACACATACGATAGCTCGAGTTTTCCTGAGGCCATCTTAGCCATCAGGCTATCATATGTCCTCTTCTAACGAGTCTAACTATTGGCTCCGGCCAAATGGAACGAAAATTGCCAGTGGCTGAAATGAATCTCGTGTTTCAAATGATTTCCTTTGTTCAACACAGAGGCGGCCGTCTCTTACATCATTCTACCCCGGCTCGTGGGGCCCGAATGGTTTCACACATTTGCTTAGAAAACACGCGTGTAAACAACCTAGAACAAACACGCTCAAACAATCAGGGCTTAACTTTTGGGGGTGTCTGCTTTAATATAAACATTTTGTCAAGATATGTGTATCATCGGCACATAAAGGTACTTAGAGTATCCGCTCACATATAGCGGATACAAAGATACTCATGTAGTGTATCCTCCCACACAAGATACTCATGTAGTGTATCCTCTGATACAAAGATACTCATGTAGTGTATCCGCTCACATAAAGATACTCATTTAGCGTATCCTCCCTCACAAGCTACTCACCACTCACAAGATTAGCATCACCCATACAAAGATACTCGTCCCCACACACCAAGATACTCATCCCCCCCAAACACCAAGATTCTCATCCTCCCTCACCAAGATACTCATGTTGTGTATCCCACCCACCACACAAAATACTCATCCCCCCCCCCCCCCACAAAGATACTCATTGTGGATATACTCTCACACAAAATACCATCCCCACACCAAGATACTCATGTTGTGTATCCTCCCAAACAATATACTTATCCCCCACAAGAAGATACTCATGTTGTGTATCCTCCCACACCAAGATACTTATCCCCCCACACCAAAATACTCATGTTCTGTATCCCACCCCAAACAAAAAACTCATCCCCCCACACCAAGATACTCATCCCCCACACACCAAGATACTCATGTAGTGTATCCCCACACACAATACACTCATCCCCCACACAAGATACTCATCCCCCACACCAAGATACTCATGTAGTGTATCCCCCACACACCAAGATACTCATGTAGTGTATTCCCCCACACACCAAGATACTCATGTAGTGTATTCCCCCCACACCAAGATATTCATGTTGTGTATCCCCCCACACAAGCCCCCCACACAAGATACTAATCCCCCCCACACCAAGATACTCATGTTGTGTATCCTCCCACACAATACACTCCCCCCCCCACACCAAGATACTCATGTTGTGTATCCTCCCACACAATACACTCACCCCCACACAAGATACTTATGTTGTGTATCCCCCACACAATACACTCACCCCCACACAAGATACTCATGTTGTGTATCCTCCCACACAAGATACTCACCCCCACACAAGATACTCATGTTGTGTATCCTCCCACACAATACACTCACCCCCACACAAGATACTCATGTTGTGTATCCTCCCACACAATACACTCACCCCCACACAAAATACTCATGTTTGTATCCCCCACACAATACACTCATCCCCCCACACAAGATACTCATGTTGTGTATCCTCCCACACAATACACTAATCCCCACACACACCAATATACTCATGTAGTGTATCTTCCACACCAAGATACTCATCCCCCCACACATGATACTCATGTTGTGTAATCTCCCACACAGCGCCTGATGTCGCCTACAACCAGCTGGCCAGCCCGTCGCCGCCCCTGAAAGAAAATGGTAATGTCTCAAGTAAGCCTGTACGGCTCAGTGTCCACCTCGCTTATTCGTCCATCTAATCGCTTACTCGTGTGTAATAACCTTCTGCATTGTGTCTGTGTCGTCTACCTGCTCAGTTTTTTTTTTTGTTCAACGATGGATCCGGTTCCGCCTGAATGATTCTTGCTTCTTAAGTTAAATATCCCTTGTTGATTTCATTTCGTGTCTATTTTTATTTGTTTGTAAGGTCAGTTTTTTGCATCTATTTCTCCAAAATCTGGGGTAAAAACGACAATGCATGTGGTAGTTGTTTTTTTTTACACTGGTTCGTGCTCAGTATTTGCATGCCGTCTCACATGTGCAATAAATAATCTTATTCAAGTTAGCCCAATGTAAACCATGTAGGCTTGTAGGCCACCATTACATTTATAACAGCGTCTTCTGTGTGTAAATATCTTTACATATAAATTAACTTCCAATTTTTTAACGAGCCCATTTTCTGCAGGGTTTCTTTCACGCATCTTTTCGGGGGAAGGGATGAGGCATCGCCCTACCCCTGAAGCACCGCCCTATACTCCGAAAGTTTCAATCCCCCCCCCCCCCCCCCGAAGAAAAATGTCTGAAAGAAACACTAATTTTCTAATATCTGGTCCATTATAGCTTATAGAGTAGGCAAACATACATTCTATTCAAAAGGGTGTTTAGTTTAAAAACTAATTTTTAGGTTCTTCTACCAGTACCAGTTAATTATCTTAAAAAAAGTATTTATCGCGTATGTATTGCACACTTTGTGGCACAGTTTACCTTCATTTGATGTACACACCTTTGCTTTTTGTCCATTAATTTTTGTCAGTTCTAAATAGTGCCAGCTATGTTTTGTTTGTCCGTGTGTTACACCTTCTCTATTATATAGCACCACATTCAAGTTTTTTCAGATCTTCAAGTCCCATTCTCTCCCTTACCCCCCCCCCCCCCCCCCCCAACCCCATTTCCGTCACTTGTTGTCTAGACCCGTGTAGCACGCACCACAGGTACTGTTTGCTTTACCCCCGAGTCCTCTTTGTGCCATCCCCCCGTGTTCTTTGTTGTACCGGCACCAACGGTCTCCTCCATTATACCCTGGGCTACTTAAGCCTTGGCCCCGCGCCCTAACCAACCCATTTGCTCTTTGTAAGGGGGGCGCGCATAACCCCTACACTTTACCTCGTCTTCTTCTTGTTATTTATCACTTCTTTCCTTTATTTTTACATAAACTTACATTTTAAAAAATAATTTCACATTCATCTATGTGATTATGGAGTGATATATTTACACCAGTTAGACGGAGTTATCCTTCCTCAGTGCAATGGAGTTATCCTATCTTAGACGTTCTATAAAATATGTCCTATGTGACGTCCGCGTACAAACTTGACGGCCGGAACCCACAGCCTACGTTGTAGAGGCAATGCTTGTAATAGCACCCTGCGTGACACGAATATAACATGCAGACATACAATTACAAGCTTATAAAAACACACGGCCACACTTGTTGCAACAGTTCCTAACCACACACCTACAAGACACGAACTAGGGAGGGGGGGGGGGGTGGGGGATTTCACAATCTACCTGTTGTTTTATTGCGAGCGTCCTTAATTATTTTTTTTTTTTAAATTCATGATTTGCGGGTTTAAACCCGGTTTCATTGTTTGATTTTACGCGAGCCGTACGTGCTGGTGTCATTATCTTTAGTGGCCCGGGCCTAGATAACCCTATCAAGTTGGGGTTTACGTTTGTCTAATTTCATGTCCTTACACCAGCTTAACTTCTGAGCTTTTTTTTCTTCTTCTTCAAAATCATTATTTTAAAAATACAAAAAAAATACAATAAAAAACGAGTTACCGTTCTTACGCTTGGATCCACATTCTGTTAGCCAGATAAAAATGTGGTGAAGATCAAAGTGAAGTTGTGGGGAGCGATGCTTTAGGGTAGTGTTAGTTAGTAGGGGGGTCACGGGGAAGCTGATGATGGTTGGGTATCGACGCGTGAAATGTGTCAACCTGCCTCCTGGGCTTGACGTCGGTCTAACGGTTTCTGATTGTCCCTTGGTGATAAAACGGTGGGCCGGTGAAAGGATGGTTCAAGATAAAATACTCCCTGTACACAATTCATCACTCACGACACCATCACCCCATTGAACTGAGTAACTGGTTATTCTGACTCGCTTAAATGTTGCCTCAAAATGTGTATGATACGGCTGTTTCTAAAACGTGTATGATACGTATGGTTAAATGGATTCCTAAAATCTGTATGATTCGGTAAAAATAAATGTTTTCCTAAAACTTGTATTGTACGTTTAAATGTTTTTTAACTGTACGTAATAGGTAAAATAAATGTTTTCCTAAAATGTGAATGATACGGTTTAATGCGTTCCTAAAATGTGTATGGTACGGTTAAATGTACAACTAAAATGTGTATGCTGTGGTTAAATATATTCCTAAAATATGTATGATACAACTAAATATTTTCCTAGCATGTGTAAGTAGTATATTAGGTCCCTTTTGGAGCGAAGGCGCAGGCGCTGGGTGAGGTGGAGCAGGAGCAGGAGCAGGAGCAGGAACTAAGGCTATATAGTAAAATACTCCCCCAGCCTGGTACAATGACATATAGCAAAATACTCCCACCACCAGGCGCAGCCTGGGTGAGCCTGGTACAACGAGATATAGTAAAATACTCCCTGGGGGAGCAGGAGGTACACCGACATATAGTAAAATACTCACCCAACTGGGTGAGGGTGGGTGAGCAGGCGGCGCAGCCTGGTACAATGAGATATAGTAAAATACTCACCCACCTGGGTGAAGATGGGTGAGGGTGGGTGAGCAGGCTGGTACAATGAGATATAGTAAAATACTCACCCACCCTACGGTGGGTGAGCAGGAGGGGGAGTAGGTCAGTAGGTCACCACCGGTGACCTTGTGACGTAATCAGTGACCTTGTGACGTAATCAGTGACCTAGTTACGTAATTTTAATGCGTTTTTTTTAATTAGTTTGACGTAATTAGTGACTTTGTGACGTAATTAGTGACTTTGTGACGTCATCACTGACCTAGTTACGTAATTTTAATGCGTTTTTAATTAGTTTTAATTTAATTTTTAAATTTTAATTAGTTTTTTAATTAGTTACGTAATTTAATTACTTTGTTTGTGTTTTGTTTGTTTAATTTGTTTGTTTACTTGTTGTTTAATTTAATTACTTTGTTTATATTGTGTAATTTTTATTAACGAGTTACGTAATTTGATTATTTGTTTACTTTTTAATTATTTTTATTTTGTTTATTTTTAATTTAATTTAATTTTATAATTAGTTAAATTATTATTAACTAGTTACGTAATTTGATTTTAATTACTTTTGTTTATTTATTTATTTGATATATTTCTTTTCTTTGTTGTTTAATGTTGTTTATTTATTTGAATGTATGTATGTTTTAAATAAAAGACTAACACTAGCATGTACTAGAACAGTCTTTGTATAGGGACCATTCTCCAACACAACGACCGTGTACAAAAAACAGGTTAAAGTCTCCACCACAACGCTAAAGTATACAAACATAGAACATTCATTAAAGATAACGATCAGCCACAGCTGTTACGTATCGACCCGCCCGCGAAGTTTTCTCACCGCTGCCCGTTTTAATGGGAATGTATTGATCGCAGCCGCTGGCCCATCACACCTAATTAAATTTTTTGTTATGCTTCACCGAGTTTCCCCCGCTCGGTTGACAGCTGTGCAACAGCTGTTGTGCGACAGCTGGTGGTGTAATTAGGTTGAGCAACCGGACATTACCTTGTTGGTTTTCTAGTACGCGTATGCTACACGTATATACACACACACACACAATCACAGAAACTAACTTTCTTACTTTTATATTAAAAGACAAGTATGTGTTATTGTTTTGTTACTTGTCCCCGAAAGTTATGTAACTCGGTATCCTGTATAAGATGTATGACTGGAAGCAAAATCAACCATTTAAAACGATGGATCCGAGATGGAAACATCCCTTTACCGCTCTGATCGCTGGGCCAACTGGGAGTGGTAAAACAGTATTTGTCAAAACCTTTTTATCCCAGGTGTCAGAGATGATGGAGCCGGCACCCGAGGAAATTTATTACTGTTACGGGGAGTGGCAACCTTTGTTTGATACCATAAAAAACGTTCAGTTTGTGGAAGGTCTTCCTGACTTAGAAAATGGATCAATGGGGGATGGAAAACGTCGACGTCTAGTCGTCATCGATGATTTGATGGCGGAAACAGATGAGCGAATTACAAAATTGTTTACGAAAGGGAGTCACCATCGTAATATTAGTGTCATGTATATTGTCCAAAACCTATTCGGGAAAAATAAAGAACAAAGAACCATCAGTCTCAATTCGCATTACATAGTGTTGTTCAAGAACCCTAGAGACGGTTCACAAATTACAAATTTGGCAAAACAAATGTATCCCGGTCGCGTTTCGTATGTCCAGGAAAGTTTTAAGGACGCAACATCGGCCCCTCATGGTTATTTGTTGATCGACCTTCGACAGGAAACACCGGATAATCTGAGATTACGCAGTAGTATCTTTTCTTACGAGCAGCAAGTCGTTTACGTCCCGAAATAAAAGCAACCATGTCTGAGTCGGTAAAACAACAAGGTGAGATGTTAAGGTTTTTGGCTCGGGCCAAACCACCCGCCGTGAAAGCCGTTGTCGAAAATGCTACCCCACAACTCGTAAAAACGTTATGCGAGTGCTGTCACAATGTCTTAAAAGGCAACGTTCCCCTCACGCCCGGTCAGAAGAGACGTTTGCGTCGTCACAAAGTGAACTTGAGACAACTTACCAAAAAGTCATTGACCGTCAAAAGACGAAAGCAAATTTTGCAGACCGGTGGTTTCCTAGGTGCTTTACTCGGACCAGTTCTCGGTGTGCTTAAAGGTGTCTTGGGATTTTAAAGATGGCCAGGAAAATGCTTTTAATGGATCCTCGAATATTAGAGTCTATGCAAC